CTCCTGCTCGGCGTGGAGCCGCCGGAGGGTCTCTATGCAGCTCGAGGCGCGGGTGCGGAACTTCGCGAGGATACGCTTCAGCACCTGTGCGCATGGGCGGCGGTGGCGGTGGGGGTGGGGGTGGGGGTGGCGGTGACGGTGACGGCGGCGGCGTTAGCCGCGGCGGCCAGGTGAGAGGCAGGCGGGGCGCGCCTCTGGGTTGCCGCCCAAGTTCTCGAGCACCTCGGCGTGCGCGATCACCGGGTCGCCGCTCGAGACGGAGGGCCCCGGTGAGCTAGTCGCCGTGTTGCAGGCATGGACAGCTGTGGCCGCGCCGAGCGAGGATGGCCGCGACCGTGGCAGCGGCGCCGTAGACGGAGGGCAGGGCACGTTTGCCCGCTCGTAAGTCCTGGAAATCTCGTGAAGCAGCGAAAGCAGGCTGGAGCCGTGGTGTCCCAAGCTTGGCAGGTCCACCCCGGCGCTCTCCAACTGTTGCGCCAACAGGGGGTGGAGCTGTCTAGCCATGGGCTGGAGAACCACACAGCCCCCACGTTGGCCCAGCCCGATCTCCTCGCGGAACAAAAAAATATTTGTGTAAACGAGCAGCGCATCACACTCTCCTCTCCTTAAAATCCCTGTGTGGTGGCGGCGTGCCGTTCTCCCATCCCTCCCTTGTGGTTGTGTTTTCTTTCTTTCTTTCTTTTCAACAGTTGAAGGGTGTATACAGTTGAAGGGTATATATTAGATTTGCCAAGGACAACCAGCCGTCCTCCCATTTACCCTTTGAAGAACAACCGTCCTCCGCCCAGCTGCCTCCGCTCAGGAAGAGAAAAAACCAGTGCCTAATTGGAACGAATGAGCGAAAAACGCGCATCCCCATCCCCGGCCGAGGTGGCTCGCCGCCTCGCGTGTGCCGAGGGTGAAGATCCCGCCGTCGTACTCGATGGAGCCGGAGAGTCCCGCGAGCGCACACGCGCAGGCGACGACGGGTGAGGCATTGCTCGAGCCAGAGGCGGCGAGTAATGGCGCGCTGCTGCAGGCGGAAGCAGAAGGCGCGTTGCTGCTCTCCGGGTTGACCGTCGGAATTGTGGTTCTGGTTGCCTTCTTGCTGACTGGCCGCCGCTCCAGGCCACCGCTGCGGATGCCGCGGATTCGCAGCAAAAAGGTTGCCTCTAGCGAGCACGCTCCCCTGTGCATCCTCACCCTGGACGGCGGAGGCATGAAGGGGCTTGTGCTGGCCACGCTGCTGGAGGCGATAGAGGAGCGGACGGGCATACCAATCGGCGGTCTCTTTGACCTGGTGGTGGGCACGAGCACGGGCGGCGTGGCCGCAATACATGTGGCATTCGCCTCTGCCCTAGGGGAGGGTTGCAGGGATTACCGTGCCAGCCTCGAGCGCGTGAGGAAGGTGCTTGAGCAGCGGAGCAAAACAAACCTGCTGGTGACGGGGCACGAGTGCACGAGTGCCGCCGCTCGCCAGGTCGCTCAGTCGTGCGCACCCGCCAGGCGACATGGGGCCGACCCCGCTCCGCGACCTGCGCCACCTTGCGAGCCCCGCACCGCGACGCCTCCGCACGTAGCGGTCGTGACCGCGTTCCACGAGGGTGGAGGGTGGCAGCCCTTCTTGGTGCGCAACTATGAGCTCCCCTATTCCAGTGGCGAGACGTCCGCTCCGAGAAGCCCTCGCTCCTACGCCAATCCCGGAGCGATCGACGGGGAGTCGGACTGGCCTATCGAGGATCTTGTCCTCGCCACGACAGCGGCGCCGGGCCTCTTCCCTCCCGTCGAGCGAGGAGGGAAGGTGTTTGTGGATGGCGCTGTGGTAGCGAACAACCCGACGAAGCTCGCTATCCGCGAGGCGCGACGCCGCTGGCCTGGCCGGCGGATCGGCATCATCGTGAGCCTTGGGACGGGGCAGATGCGTCAGGCACAGGCGCCGATTGCGAGGACGTCGAGCCCAGCCTCGTACTGGATTCCGGCCATGCTCGACATGGCCTTCGACAGCAACCGCACGCACGCCGATGTGCACGACACACTCCTGCCAGCGATAGCCAACGAGTGCGGCCACCCTTTCTACTTTCGGATCCAGCCCACGATTGAAGACGCTACGATGGTGACGACGATCCCGAGGAAGCTCGCCGCGCTGCAGCAGCAGACGCGCACGTTTGCCAAGTCGATGTCGCACGACCTCGACAAGATCGCCGCGTATCTCCTCCTCGCCGCGGCGAGGCCGGCCTTCCTCCCCACCCCTGCTGGGGCGGCCGAGGCGGAGCGCTTGTGCGGCGACCATTGCTGCCACTGGGAGACGCTGAAGGGCTTGGCGGCGCTGCGCGCGAGGTGCTCGGCCACGCCCCCGGGCTGAGTGGGCAGTGCTCTACTAGCTACTTCGACT